CAATGACCAACATGTATTTGTTGCCCCCTTCACTGGGTCTATAGGGGCCAGCCAGATCAGCATGTGCCAGTTGAAATGGTCTCTGGGTGGCACACTTGCTTTCCTTCAGCACAGGGAAAGCTTTCAGCTTTATCTTTTTGCACACTGAACTATACAAATAGTTATTACAGGGGTTTACCTTTAACTCTGCACAGACCTTTTCCAAATGAGAAAGACTAGGAAAAACTTGCATGTCCCATGAGTAATGGGCACAATTCAAATGCAATGCCCAGTGGTACAAACACATCTTGGTTACAGTGTAATGTCTCCCAACCATTATGTTTTTCAAAATTGGCACTTCTGGAGAACATTACTCTACCATTGCCCATCAAGAACCTGTATTTGCACACTTTGCTTTTGCCACCATGTGGTAAAAATTATTCCTTTTTACCTCTCTGGCACAGATAGACCCATCTGAATATATTATGTACCCATCCCCTTGAAATGACACTTGATACCCATCAGATGTTGGTGTGGAAACACTCACTAAATAATTTTCAAGATTGTTTGCACACAGTATTAAGTGTATTTAATAATACTGGGAATGAAAGCAGTTCACATAAACTGAACCTTGCTAGGTGTTCCATCTGCTAAAAAACAGATGACACTGGAGCAGGTCTTAAGTCCTTTAGGAGCTTTGGACTGTTGACTATGTGTTGAGTGGCCCCACTATCCAGCAGCCACACACCTTCTGGAGTGCTTGCCTGGTAGGCAACAGCAACACTCCCTTCAGCTTGTGAAGCAATGGCCCTCCTTTCCTGAGGCTTCTTCTTGCAGCAGGCTGACGTTCCCTTCTGTGCTGCTGAAGACTTCTAGCATTCTCTCTGAAGATGCCCCACCTTCCCAAGTTGAAACAGTGTTTCTCTCTGCAGACTGCAGCTCTCTCACCTTAAGATGTTGTGGGACACATTTTCATGGATGGTTGGAGTGTCTCTCTCTCCTTGCTGAATTCTGCTGCCTGGCCTCAAAATCACACCTCTGGATTTCCTCCAGAATCTGTGCTGATACCAGGTCCAGGGTCTGGTCTCTCTCTGTGACACTCTCCACTGTACATCAGGAAATCCCATTCCTTGGTCAGACTTCCTATCAGGATGTACATTTTTTTGATTTTCTAGAATGTTTATACCATGAACAGCAACTTGTGAAAATAATTCCTGCAT